ACTTTAAGAAATAGAAAATTTCCAAATCCTAATTAAAATAAGAAATCTTAAAATCTAAAATCATAAGTGAAATAGGAAAATTAATCCTAAAGTAAAGAGGAAAGTAAATCCTAAAAGGAAAAGGAAAAGTTAATCCTAATCAAAAGAGGAAATCTAATCATAAGCAAAAGAGGAAAGTCAAATCCCTAAGTAAATCGATTCATGGTTCGGTCTCAAATACCGCATGACACTAACGATTACATGATTTTGACTCAAAACTTTTCCTTGTAGATGTTGAATTACAACTTGTACTTTACTGCCCTAAATCTCTTAGGAGATAATTATTTTAAAATGGGCAATGGATACTAAGATTATCCTAAAGTCAAAAGGACTTGGTGAATGTATCTAATAAGGTAAGAATGCCAAGAGAGAAAGATAGATACAAGGCAATATTAGCCACCATCTTATTGAGAGTCTCATAATCCAGGACTATAAGTCCGTGAATGAGTCTATTGCTAGATGAAAAAAAAAAAAAATAATGACTTACAGATAAAAACAGTGAGTTACGACCTCATAGATTAACCCCATTACCTAATGCCAATAAGGCCGCAGAGGATAAGAAAGAATCCAAAGAATCTAACCACGTCTAAAGTGATAGACCACACGGCCGTGACCGTGGTGGATGGAAAGGACGTGGTTGTGGCCACTATAACTCATCCGGCCGTGGGAACCACTATAACCGTGGATGTAGACCCAATTCCGGCCGTGGTCGAGGGCGAGGACGATGTGGTATTTCCAAACCACAACACTCGACCAAATGAGTATACCATAGATATGGAATGGGAAACCATTGGGCTAAGATATGTAGGACTTCCAAACATCGTTGTGACCTCTATCAAGAGAGTGTAAAAGGGAAGAATCCTAAAGCCCATTTGGTATATAAAGATGGTGAACATGATCAAGATGATCTAATAGAGTATGAAACTTTTGATTGCATAAAAGAATCAAGTTGATAAATCTTACTTCGACATCAAAACCTCTATGTTTTTCTTTGCATTTTATGTGTTCATTGATTGTTATTTGCTTGAATTTATTTTATATTATTTTATGTTTAGAACATGATTCTTGTCCATATAAGAAATGGCCGAGGACAAGAACATAATTGTGGTGGATAGTGGAGCCACACAAAAGATAAGAGATATTTTCCTAAATCTCATAATGAAAAATGCCAATATTAGCACTTAGCGGGCATAGCAAACCTTATTGAGGGCTACGGCCAAGCCCATATTCTATTACCAAATGGCACGCATCTTGAACTAAGCGATGCCTTATATTCACCCAGCTCGAAGAGGAGCTTATTAAGTTTCAAAGATATAAGATTGAATGGTTTCCATATTGAAACAAAGGGTGAAGGGAACAAAGAGATCACCCAAGGACATAAGAAAGTCCTAGAGACTATACCCGCATTATCCACTGGTCACTACTATATTAAAATCGATATGATCGAAGCTAATATGGCAATGAACAAAGAGTTCATCGAGAAATTCACTTTATGGCATGACCGGCTTGGCCATCCGGGTCATAGTATGATGCGTAAGCTTATGATAAATTCAAAGGGGCACACCCTAAAAGAGAAAAGAGTTATCCCTAAGAATCTCACGTGTGAAGCATGTTCACAAGGGAAACTCATTATAAGGCCATCACCGGCTAAGGTAAATAAAGAGACCTTAAAATTTCTGGAAAGGATACAAGGAGATATATATATGTATGGTCCTCATTGATGCATCGACAAGATGGTCGCATGTTTGTCTCCTATCTACTAGAAACCAAGTGTTTGCTAGGTTATTGGCCCAGATAATAAGACTGCGAGCCCACTTTCCAGATTTTCCGCTTAAGACTATACGTCTAGACAATGCCGGTGAATTCACGTCCCAAGCGTTTAATGACTACTGTATGTCCATGGGGGTAAGTGTGGAACATCCCGTAGCACATGTACATACACAGAATGGATTAGCGGAATCCTTCATTAAACGAATTCAATTGATCGTTCGACCATTACTCATGAGGTCGAAGCTTCCAGTAGCCGCTTGGGGACACACTGTTTTACATGCATCAGAGCTTATACGCATAAGGCCATCTAGTGAACATAAATATTCACCATCCCAATTACTCATGGGTCATGAGCCAGACATATCCCATCTAAAGACTTTCGGGTGTGCCGTATATGTACCGATTGCTCCACCACATAGAACAAAGATGGGACCTCAAAGGAGGATGGGAATATATGTTGGATTTGATTCTCCCACCATTATTAAGTATCTAGAGCCAACTACGGGTGATCTATTTAAGGCTAGATACGTGGATTGTCATTTGAATGAATCCGAAATTCCTACTATAGGTGGAGAGACGAACAAGCTGGGTAAAGCAATAAAAGAAATATAATGGAATCAAACATCCTTAAATTGGCAAGATCCTCGGACTCTGGCATGAGAATCAGAGGTCCATAAGATTATACATTTGAAAAGCTAGCTAATCAATTGCCAGATTCCTTTGCTGACCCAAAGAAAGTTACAAAAACGTACATACCAGCTTGTAATGCACCAGTACGTATTGATATCCAAAAGGGAATCAATGAAATTGCTACCGAGTCTAACACACGAAAGAAACGTGGTAGACTAATAGGTTCCAAAGATAAAAATCCTCAAAAATCAAAGAAAGGTGCAATAGGAATCCGAGGTTACTAAGGAAACCATCCCAGACATGGAGATAAGGCCGGCCGGCTCTAAGGTACAGGTACCATATAATGTAGCTTGGGACGCCAAGCTGCAAAATATTAAAGGTCCTGACCATAATAAATCTCAAATCGATTATATCATGTCTGGAACATAATGGAACATATAAGAAATGTCGACATAAGATAATTTTGCATGCAAGGTAGCACTTGAATTTATGAATATAAATGAGGATCAGGAGCCCACGTCTATACTAGAGTGCACTCAAAGACTTGATTGATTAAATGGTACAAGACCATAAAACGTGGAGCTAAGAATCATTAAGAAAAGGAATGAGTTTGGTCCGACCTTAAGGACACCATTCGATGTAAAAACCAGTAGGACACAAATGGGTCTTTGTGAAGAAGAGAAATGAGAATAATGAAATCGTGAGATATAAGGCACGGCTTGTAGCACAAGGATTCTCACAAAGACCGGGGATAGATTATGAAGAAACATACTCCCCTGTGGTGGATGCTAAGACATTTAAATTTTGCTAAGTCTGGCTATATAAAGAAAAAGACTTGATTTGCGGCTAATGGATGTAATGCCTGCATATTTATATAAGTCCACTGGATGATATATATGAGATTACCAGAGGGTATTGAGCTCAAAGATAAAGATAAGAAAGGGTCTCGAGACCAATACTGCATAAGGCTGAACAAATCACTTTATGGACTGAAACAAAGTGGACGCATGTGGTACAATAGATTAAGCGAGTACCTAGTCAGAGAAGGTTATAAGAATGATCCCATTAGTCCATGTATCTTCATAAAGAAATTTGCAAACAAAGGGTTTGTAATAATAGCAGTATATGTGGATGATTTAAACATCCTTGAAACCTCTTGGGAAATCGCCCAAACAGTCAAATATCTAAAGAAAGAATTCGAGATGAAAGACCTAGGCAAGACAAAATTCTGTTTGGGATTGCAACTTGAGTACATGAATAATGGAATCCTTGTGCATCAAAAGGCATATACTGAAAAAGTACTCAAGAGATTCAATATGGACCAGGCCCACCCATTGAGCAGCCCAATGGTGGTGAGAAGCCTCGGATTGGATAGTGATCCATTCGGTCCAAAAAAGGATGAGGAAGAAGTTCTCGATCCTGAAGTGCCATACCTTAGTGCCATAGGAGCGTTAATGTACTTGGCTAGCCACACTAGACCAGACATATGTTTTGCCGTGAACCTCCTTTGCCTAAATTTAGTTCATGATCAACCCAAAGGCACTAGAAAGGTTTGAAGGAAGGTTTGGTTAAATTTTAAATTCTATTCTTCCTATGTTTGTTTATTTGGGTTTTATTCTATACTGATCTAACCAAAGAAGGTCTAGTTTGCTTTGGTTTAGTTTGTTTTGCTGATGCAGGTAAAATCAGATTATGGCATGGTCAATAGATAGGAACTACGTGTGGCTTGATCCCTTCCAAGGGTACGTAGGCAGCCTTCTTCAAGGCGCAACTACTACAACATCAAAGACCATCATATGAGGAGACAACACAGCCTGTATCGCTCAGCTCAAGGACGGCTACATCAAGGGAGATCGGACGAAGCACATTCTAACAAAGTTCTTCTTCACGCATGACTTGCAAAGGGATGGAGAAGTTCGAGTGGTACAAGTTCGATCCAGCGACAACTCAGCCGATCTCTTTACCAAGGCATTACCAACATCGACATTGAGGAAGCTCACGCATCAAATTGGAATGCGGAGACTTAAGGACTTGCAGGGATGACCAAAACAGGGGGAATAATACGTGCTGTACTCTTTTTCCTTAACCATGGTTTTGTCCCAATGGGTTTTCCTGGTAAGGTTTTAATGAGGCAGCATCCCCAAGCGTATTACTAAGATCCTTTGGCATCTACACGGTTATGTCATCCAAGGGGGAGTGTTATAAACCACATGTTGGATGGACTCCATAACCGTGGACCTTATGCATATTCTAGAAGGCCCATGTCCATGTCCTAGAAGGCCCATGCCCATGTTCTTGAAGATTCTCCTTATGACGGCCTATATTGTACTTAGTGGGCTTTTGGGCTTTAGGGTTTACTAGCCCAATGGGGATTTGTCTCCCCTCATCATGTATATATATGTATCGAAATCTCATTCATTAATCAATAGAACAACACAGTTACAACAGTATGAAGTAGATTTTCTCTACCGATAGGACTTGAAAGAAAATGGGATTTATAATGGAAAAGGGAAAAAACGATTTGGATCGAAGTTGAAAGTTTTCATCATTAATTAATCTCTTACTAATAAAAGAAGCTTATTGAGACTTTTTAAGCCATCCACATCAGCAATTTAAAAAGACATTCTCAACACGCCACGTCAGCTTAGTCTCCTTAAAATTTTAAATCTCTACAAAGTTGCCATGTCATCAAACTCAAGCAACTAAAATTGAAAATGAATAATTGGGGTTTAGGGTTTCCCAACGATGTCGCTATAGATTCTTTACGTTTTCAGTTTCGTCTCTACAGATACAAAGGAAAAGCCAATCGAGCGATAATATATATAAAGCACGAAACCGTGATGAAACGCCAAGAAAGCACACAGTGGCAAGATTTTCGATACGTAGACCTATATATGGGTTGAATCAATTTCAAAAACATCATTCGGAATCAACTATTGCCAGATTCAGCAAACTTTGCAAGCTTCGGTATGTGTTCTCCACCTTGGGCTCACATGGTGTCTAAACGTATGCATATTACATGTTTAAATTCAGTTTATCACGGTTTTAGGCTTATATATCGTCCGCCTTCCATAAAAGAACCTCTGCTTTTTCTGCACAATGAAACAGTAATGGGAGAGAACGAGGAGCCATCATCCCAACCATTAAAGCCAGCCAGCTTCAGGTCACGAACTGGATATTGGTCGAAACCAAAGTTAATCACCAGTTTCATATTCTTGGTTTCCATGGTGAGCGATATTAACCACTAAACATGTTATATATAAGCATAGTTTTAATGGTTGCCAACAAATAATGCTTCGAAGGCAACTTGACTATCCAGATTTAATATTTTGTCGTTTTCTCTTTACTAAAATCGATTTGATGCTGCAAGAATTACATTGTGTAGCCAGATTTTGGAACATGAATGAGTTACTAAGGTTTGCCATCTGTGAATGATGTGGATTATAAATTGGGCACGATGAATAACCAGATAAAAAGGAGCATCGATCTAGGTGGTATTGTTTACCCACTCCTCCGTAGCTTAATGCCACTTTTGATTCATGATAGTGGCTTATGTAGGTTTTTTTAATAATAGTGTGGGATCTGATAGCTTAATGCCACTTTTGTGTGTTTAATATATGTTTCACGATTTTATTTTGCCAAAAATAAGAATATATTCGAAGAACAAATATTATAAATTCAGCTTACTAGCTATGTTCACCTCTACAAGTATCTACATGTAGTAAAGAGCTATCTCCACAAAATCTTGTGATTATCATCATTGTAAAACACAATGAATGATGTGAAAATCTTTGTGTTTTTCGATGGTTTTAGAAGTTGTATGCAAAAAAAGATAGAGAAAGAGAACAAACGCAGGGAGTTCATAGAAATGAAAACTGAAATTTGACCTCAACTTCTTTTTATATACTTTGATGAGAAGGTTGTTTAAAGTTTGTTTTCCGGATCTCTGGCGCTTCATCCTGCTTCTAAGACAAGAATCAGATGATAATGTGTTAAGACGAATGCTTTAGTAAAAGTGAAAAAACAAAACAATATGGAGGTGGTTTCATCCTCTTCAATGAAGCTATTGCTTTCCCTATATCTTCTTTCTTTTTTTTTGTTTCAATCTAAATCTGCATTGAAATTAAGGTCTTCCATGTAACTGGTGAATTCTCATAGTTATTAGTAACTCAGTAGATGAAACTTGTCATGATTCCCACATATATAAAGGCTGCCTTTCAGCAAGGAAGTTCAGCTTATCTTCTTACACACTATCATTAGCCATGTATGTGTTAAACATAACAAATCCTTATAGTAATATCACTTCTAAAATTGCAGGCCCTTGAAGCAAAGTTTCATTCCTTTCCCTCAGCATAAACGTTTGTGCCTTGATAGTTTGCATCACTAAAATTGATGACTTGTGAAGATGGATATAGTTTTTGGTCCCTAAAACTTGGGATACATGTGTCATATGATCAGTTTTATGTCAAAGGTATATAAGCTTACACTTGTGATCATGATGGCTATAGTTAAAAAATGATTCACATTTGCACGCTTCCTATAAAAATCCAGCAAGAGAATTCGGAAACATCAGTGAACTTTTTGCACCATCTCTTATATATAAGCAACTTGCTGAAACTTTGTAGTAGGAGGTTACGATTCTTTCACATAAAACCATACTCAATTGTCTTTTTATAAAGTATTCCATAAAATTATCAAATGTACTTAATGTTAATATATGAACTAATATGATAGTCATACATCTAAGAATAAGAAAAATAGTATTCATACTCAAGTATTGATAACATCTAAAATCCAGTTGTCGCTGTAAAGAAAATAAATTTCATAAAGATTTTACGTTTAATTTAAACTAACACTTAAACTTCCAGAAAAGGTACATATTAAAAAAAATCAGTTGAACATATAACCAATGTATATCAAATCTCTTTCACATAGATATTTTTTTTTTTATCAAAAACTACACTTAAGAGCTCAAGTTACAAACCTTTACTTTGTTAAAATGCTAACGGAGATTACTCTATTACAAATATAGCGAAATTTTTTATATAAAAATAACCGACGCGTAGCGCTGATTAATCCCTAGTTGTATATGAAAAGATTAATATTCGAGATACATGATATCATGTGTTTACCTTATAATACATTCGATTCTCATGTGTTAATGAAACATTTTTTTACATAAATATATGGAAGTTCAATATATGTATGTATGATCTAGAGATAGCGAAAGGGCATTTGACTACGATTCAATTGCTTAACATTTCAGATTCCAATGCTACCTTCATTGACAACTAATTAATCCTATGCATTTAACTAAGAAGACCCTTCGAATTCAACATCCGACGCCAGTATTTAACGTGAATGCACCTAAGAGTCATAGGAACTAATCACACAGAACAAGAATTTATGATGAATGATGGTTCATCATCATCAAGCACAAAGGTGGACACCGATGTGTTGGTAGATGAAACCTACTTCTCTGCTTTGTTCGATTACGATGAAGTTTTCCCAATCTCCGACGAAAACTACGCTACGGAGCTCCATCTCCAAGAAGCTCTGTTTTCTTCCATTGTCGCTTCTACTGGTGGTGTTAATCATCATCCCCAAGTCCAAAGGAATCTCGTCACGCGGGTTAAGCAGGAACCGGAGATCAAAACCGAGAATGAACCCACCGAACCATCGAGAAGGTTTTGTATGATCTGTATGGACGAAAAACCTTCCTCCGACATCTTCCGAGGAACCACTAACTGTGTTCACTTCTACTGCACAGACTGCACCGTCCGGTACGTGGCGACTAAGATCAAAGAAAACGCAGCGAGGATCAAATGTCCTGACGTGGAGTGCACGCACCTGATAGAGCCATACACGTGTCGAGATCTAATCCCCAAGGACGTTTTCGACCGTTGGGATAAAATCTTGTGCGAGTCTTTGATCTCCTCGTGGGACAAATTCTACTGTCCGTTCAAAGACTGTTCGGCTATGATGGTGAACGATGAAGGTGGTAATGCAAACGTGACGCAGACGGAGTGTCCGTCTTGTCACCGACTCTTCTGTGTGAAGTGTAAGGTGACGTGGCATGCGGGGATTGGGTGTGACGAGTTCCAGAGATTTGGGAATACGAAGAAGAAGAGTAGTGATGACGAAGATGCTTTGTTGATTCAGATGGCGAAAAATAAGCAGTGGAGAAGGTGTCCTAGTTGCAAATTCTATGTTGATAAAGTTGAAGGTTGTCAACATATAAATTGCAGGTTTGTGTTTTTAATCATAACAAATCTTTTACTTTGTAGTAAGTCTTTTACTAATATTCGTTTTCGTTTTGTTTTCTTTGAATTCGTAGGTGTGGATATCAGTTTTGCTATGGTTGTGGATCTGTGTGGGGTTCTTCTCACGTATGCCAAATCCGTTACTAAAGGCCAATTAAGAATGGTTTCTTCTATTTGTTTTGTTTTTATCCAACCTTATGTGTTATTGGCGTATGAATCATAAGACAATTATTTGCAATATATATATGTCCATGAGAAATTGGAGGCCCATGAGTTTATTGAAGCCCGATAAGCCATTACATGTATTTACAATTTTAATCACTCGAGATATTCTTTCAATGGAATGGAAGTAAATGTATAAGGAAAATAAAATAAAAATTAAGATTTCAAAAGTCGTTGGTATGGTTCGACTTTGATTTAAAACTAAAAGCAAAAGCGAAAAGAGGAGTGATTAGAGTAAAGCTCCATTCTATGTCCCGCTTTAGAGAGCTTCTCTACTCATTACTAGACTTCCTCCATAGTCAATAATTGGTGTAAACGATGATAATAAATACATAAAAATGGATGGTAAATGTAAAATTTTAATGAAATGCATTCTGCAAAAATAAATAATACTCTGGAGTCTGGACCTACTTATTGTCCGTATTACCCGTCAATACAGTTGAATGGGGTACACTATAGTTTCGTTTTATTATAGACTTTTTAAATTCTTATAGATGGTTATTTTCTTGTAAAAAAATAAAATAGCAGAAAAGAACAAAAACACGTGAACACTTCACACTGCTTTGGGCTCTAGGTTTATTAAAATGCATTACAATACACTGTATATAGGTAAAACAACAATGGTTCAATGATACAATAAACATCGACCTACTCAGGTGGATTTTTTTTGGAACATGGACACATCGTAACTCGTATTTATTATGCTTTCAAAGGTCCAATATAATGTAAGCGTCGAACTATGAATTATAGACTTTTTAATTCTTATTTTAAAAAATATATATAAGCCCTCCAAATCACATGATAAACTAATACTTTTTTTCATCATAGCAAAATTAGTTAGGTCAATTTAATCCACACAAAAAGGTTAATTTGGTCAAAACATTTTACATCTATCTAACTCCTAATCAAACGTTGGACAGAAATATCATAAACCTTATCCTTATTTTTGATTAATAAAACTTAAGTTATCATAAGATTCTACACGAGCGACTCGAACACATGTCGAACAAGCAAAAGGAGTAAGGACCCACATGACATCCATCAGTTTTAGACTTAGCTTAACCAAATCCAAACAACGTGAAAATCCTTACTTTTGTCTGAAGCTAAACAAAGATGGAATCAAAACATGGTATTAATAATAATAATCGACAAATATCCCATCAATGCAATGCATATAGAAAATTAAAAATTCCCGTGAACGAAACATATAAATCTGCCACCTGAAACATAACTGCATTCGAATATAAATGTTTTTATCTTTCCTCTGTGTGTTCATTCAATTTAATTATAATGGATGATAGCTACTAGCTAGTATGTGAGACCCGTCTAATCTACTATTTCAAGTTTCCAACACTATCACAATAATTTAGAAAAGTATATAGGGGTATTCACGTAATTAACAAACAAAGCAAAGAAAAAAAGACAGTGCCTCCAGCTCACAAAAACACAACCTCTTCTGCTTCTTCCTCTGTACACACTAGGGAAACCACAGTTCTCTCCTCTCTTTCTCCGCTTCTGTAGCAATGTCAATGTGGTACCCTCTACCTTCTTCTTCTTCTTCTTTCACTCACTAACCAAATCTAGAATCAATAACCGATAAAAAAACCTAACTTTCTCCGTCAATGGCTTTCTTCTTCTTCTACTTTTTCTTCCTCTTGACTCTTTCTTCTCCTTCTTCTTCTTCTTCCTCTTCAAACTCCTTGACTTACATCGTCCACGTCGACCACGAAGCTAAACCTTCAATCTTCCCCACTCACCGTCACTGGTACACTTCCTCTCTTGCCTCACTCACATCTTCTCCTCCCTCTATTATCCACACATACGACACCGTTTTCCATGGCTTCTCGGCAAGACTCACTTCACAAGACGCTAGTCACCTCTTAGACCATCCTCATGTCATCTCTGTAATCCCAGAGCAAGTCCGTCACTTGCACACCACTCGCTCCCCTGAGTTTCTTGGTCTTAGGTCCACCGACAAAGCGGGTCTACTCGAAGAGTCTGATTTCGGGTCGGATCTTGTTATCGGAGTTATCGATACTGGTATTTGGCCTGAAAGACCTAGCTTTGATGACCGTGGTCTTGGTCCTGTTCCTCTTAAATGGAAAGGCCAATGTATCGCTTCTCAAGATTTTCCGGAGTCGGCTTGTAACCGTAAACTCGTCGGAGCTAGATTCTTCTGCGGTGGTTATGAAGCAACCAACGGGAAAATGAATGAAACGACGGAGTTTCGTTCTCCGCGTGACTCCGATGGACATGGGACTCACACAGCTTCAATCTCCGCCGGCCGTTACGTTTTTCCGGCGTCAACTCTTGGCTACGCTCGCGGCGTCGCTGCTGGGATGGCTCCGAAAGCTAGACTCGCCGCTTACAAAGTTTGTTGGAACTCCGGTTGTTACGACTCCGATATCCTAGCCGCTTTCGACACCGCCGTTGCCGACGGCGTCGATGTTATCTCTCTCTCCGTTGGAGGCGTCGTGGTTCCTTATTACCTCGACGCTATCGCCATTGGAGCTTTCGGAGCTATTGACAGAGGAATATTCGTCTCTGCTTCGGCCGGAAACGGGGGTCCCGGTGCTTTAACGGTGACGAATGTTGCTCCGTGGATGACAACAGTCGGAGCTGGAACAATCGACAGGGATTTTCCGGCCAATGTAAAACTCGGTAATGGGAAGATGATTGCTGGTGTTAGTGTATACGGTGGACCGGGTCTGAATCCGGGTCGAATGTACCCGCTTGTTTACGGTGGTAGTTTAATCGGCGGCGATGGTTACTCTTCGTCTCTGTGTCTTGAAGGCTCGTTGGATCCGAATTTGGTTAAGGGAAAAATCGTTCTTTGTGACAGAGGAATCAATTCTAGAGCAACCAAAGGTGAAATCGTACGGAAAAATGGAGGCTTGGGGATGATTATAGCGAATGGTGTGTTCGACGGCGAAGGTTTAGTCGCTGATTGCCACGTGTTACCGGCGACATCTGTTGGTGCTTCTGGAGGAGATGAGATTCGAAGGTATATCTCTGAATCATCCAAAGCTCGTTCATCGAAACATCCAACGGCTACGATTGTTTTCAAAGGGACCCGACTTGGGATCCGACCTGCACCGGTTGTGGCATCTTTCTCTGCTCGTGGACCCAATCCAGAGACGCCGGAGATTCTTAAACCGGATGTAATCGCACCTGGTTTGAACATTTTAGCTGCTTGGCCTGACCGGATTGGTCCATCGGGTGTTCCTTCTGATAATCGGAGAACTGAGTTCAACATATTATCAGGCACTTCGATGGCGTGCCCTCACGTGTCTGGTCTCGCTGCTCTGCTCAAGGCGGCTCATCCGGATTGGAGTCCGGCGGCGATAAGATCAGCCTTGATGACTACGGCTTACAGGGTCGATAACCGCGGTGATCCAATGATGGATGAGTCCACTGGCAATACATCATCGGTTATGGATTATGGATCGGGTCATGTTCACCCAACCAAAGCTATGGATCCGGGACTAGTCTACGATATAACACCTTATGATTATATTAACTTCTTGTGTAATTCTAACTACACTGGAACCAACATTGTGACAATAACCCGTCGCCAAGCGGACTGCGACGGTGCGAGACGAGCGGGACACGTCGGGAATTTGAACTACCCGTCGTTCTCTGTCGTGTTTCAGCAGTATGGAGAAAGTAAAATGTCGACACATTTCATCAGAACGGTGACAAATGTAGGCGATCCGGATTCAGTCTACGAGATTAAGATTAGGCCGCCGAGAGGGACTACGGTGACTGTTGAGCCGGAGAAGCTATCCTTTAGACGGGTGGGGCAGAAACTGAGTTTTGTTGTTAGGGTTAAGACCACAGAGGTGAAGTTATCACCCGGAGCAACAAATGTGCAGACTGGTCATATAATTTGGTCAGACGGGAAACGAAATGTGACAAGTCCCTTGGTGGTTACTCTTCAACAACCTCTGTGAAGGGTTTTAGGATTTGGTGACCGGGAAAATTCTGGTCTTTGTTTGTATAAGTGAAAAAGAAAGATCATAAGTTGTTGTCGTCGTCGTCTATGATCTTTGTTGGGTGTTTGTGTAATATAAAAATGTATCTTTTGTTGTTAAGATACAGCGTCTAAAGAACGTTCCATTTTTGTAGACTTAGCCGAAGAATGTATTTCACTTGTGATGTGGGCTTTTAATGAGGCTTATAAAGCTTAAAGCTCCAAGCCCACATATATGCACTTCAACATGTCTTTTTCTAGATGAGTTGGTAAATGTAGAAAAGAAAAAGATATGATGATTTTCAATTTTGTTTTTATTTATATGTGAGATTCATCGATTATTAAACTTAATTCTTTTTTATTTTAAAGAGTTTATATGACTTTTTAAACATTGAAATAAAAACTGTGTCAAAAACTAAAAAGAACAAGAAAAAATTTGCATGCAACTGAAAATACTTATAGTTAGACAAGAAAAAATAATAATAGTGGTGATGTTGTTGATTTTATTTTAGTTTATTATATATCATCCAATTTTCCGGATAAGCCAAAGTCAAAATGATGGTTCCTTTATAATATTTTATGCCCATAACTAGATGATATATTAGACATAGGAATATAAAATAGGATTAAAAAATGATGATTCGATTAGAGCCTATTAAAATAGAAGATACGTGTAGTACAGGTGTGTAGTTTACTGGTAGTAGTGGCAGACAACTAGATTATGAGTTAAATAAAGCCTTAGATTTGAGAGATTGAAATATTCGATTGGAAGCTTTCCAGATTTTACAGTCATCTAAAATTAGATGCAGATCACCTACTACCAGTCAAAAAAGATCAAAATAATTTCATTACCTTTTGGCAAAAAAAAAAAAAAAAAATCATTACCTTTCAAGCATAAGATATAATAATAATATAAGTGCTCATTTTATTCCTTTTTTTCTACATTATTTCG